CTTTTTTTTTTTTTTTTAATTAGCTGACTGAGTTATAAAATGAGTGGCTAAAACAGTAGTTCCTGCTGGAGAGTCGGGGTCTAACAAAGTGTTCTGGGCTAAGGGTTCAGTCAAGTGTTAAAGAAAAGCCACAGGTTTTTATCTGGCTGCTAAGTAACCTCTTGCAGCTTGTCAAAGTTAACAACTTTATGAGAGATGGCTTGCAAGTCGGCCAGCTTTGGGTATTTGTTTGATAAGTCCAAGCTGGCTCCTACCTAGAAGCTTCCTGAGGGCCTACGGGCATGGTGGCATCTGTGAGATGGACCTGGTCTGCATGCTGCTGGGCAGCTGTAAAGACCTTCTCCTGCTCGTCAGGGCTAAGGGCAGAGGTGAGGACTACATAAAGATTATCATGCCAGGTTGAGTCATAGGCTTGGGTGAGGAATCGGAACGTCTTAATATAGGTGGTAGGGTCCTGTGAGAAAATACCCTGCCGCTTCTTACAAAGGCTGCGACTGAGAGGCTTGGGAGGCTGCGGGTGTTGCTTCAGCGGAGGCTGAGTAGGGAGGTAGCCAGGAAGGAGAGAGAGAGATTGACTCCGGGGAGTCCAACAGTTTGGCTCTGGGAAGGGGACAGGTATGGGAGGCGCACTCGCCTCGGGGAGGGGATGGGTGTCAGAGGCACAGTCGCCTAGGTCGTTGGGAGTGCCTGTGCTGGGAATTAAGCCAAAAGTACTTGTGTGGGTTGGCAAGAGATGCAAAAGAGAGGGTCGGGAGCAGGGAAAGAAAAAGACAAACCTGAATGTACGGAGTCTTAGACCATTTGGGGGTTTGGTGACAGAAGTTGTTGAGGTTGTGCAGAATATTGAAAGAACCGTTTTCTGGCCAGCACGAACTGTTGTCTAATGGTATTGTGGCCACACTTGGTTACAGAAGAAGACCGTATGCTTAGGGCGAATGTCCGGAGCCAGGCTCAGCTCAGTGAGATGGACTGGAGGTGTCCCAAGGGACTGTCCCTGGGAGGCTTCGAGAGCGAGCTTTCCATGGTGTCTTCAACTGCAAGGGGTACGGTCAGAGGAGAAGGACGTCTCCTGGTCCCCGTGCGCACCCGTCAATCAGGATGTGGCCTGATAACCCTGAGAGGAATCCCGGACAGAGTTAGGGGCCCAGTAGGAGAGTCCTGGACTCCCCAGAAGAGGAAGGCTACCTGTCACAGGCCTGCAGCTTTAACTGGTAGACAGGGGCCTTGGATCAGTGACAGTGAAAGATACTGCAGGAAGCTGGGGAGGGGAAGGGGCCTGGTTTTGTGGCCAGCTGGATGGAGGGGGCCAGAGGCCTTTGTTCAGGGAGAAGTGGATTTTAGATAAGGACTGAGAGCAGGTACCACAGAACTGCTAGGGAGAAGGAGGAAATAGATCTTAGAGTAAATCTGACAGCAGGCACCGCAGAACTGCCAGCATGAAACACACACACGTAGAAGAACCTCAGACTCACCCTTTTGCATTCCAGCCCAGACAGAAGGTGGAGTGACTACCAGGCCCAGTGCCAGCAGCAGGAATTCCAGGAATTAAGCACAGAGAACAAAGGCTGTGGGCCACATGAGAAGGAAAATAGATACAGAGAAAAAGTGGACAGGAGAAACTGGCCTTATCGTCGCACCCCTCACAGGGAAAGGCAGTTATTTCCAGCTCCTTTTGGTACTAGGGTGGCAGCATAACCCCCTGCCTGGAGCCAGGCAGACCCTATATTTCCATATGAGTTTTCTGGTCCTCAGTGTCCAGAAAGACAAACAAGACAAAAAATGTGCACAGAAATACTGACCGGAAAAACGCTTGCACAGGCAGGTTGCAGAGGTCCATGAGAGCGGAGGATGGGGCTGCACACTGGCCAGAGGGAGGCTGGAGTGGCACAGAAGCTCCTTGTGCTGCTTCCAGGTTTTGGCACCAAGATGAAAGGTTGGAGACGGAGGTGCACAACAGAGATAGACTTTAGCTAGGAATGTGAAGTTGAGAAAGATTTTATTGAGGCAGGGAAAAAACTCCTGGGAGGGAAGGTAGAGCAAGGAAAGGTCCGGGGCATCTTGATCCCCCGGGTGGGTTCCCAAACCAAAGGAGTTAGGTCAGGGAAGTTGCACCTGGCAGTGAGACAAAGGGACTTATATCGGGCATGAGCTTAAAGGAATAGGAGTCGGTAAGGTGAAGGGAGGTTCTACGTGCTGCGGTGGCAAGTTTCGGGCCAGGTGACGTCCTGTCAGTAAATCATGTTGTTGCTAGGAAACAGTGCTAGGGAGAGGGAGGCTGTGATCTCTCTGGGGAGGTCATCTTGTTCTTAGGGAACAATGCTAGGGAGAGGGGGGCTGTGTTCTACCCGGGGAGGTAAGCTCTGTGAAATGCTGAAGGCAGGTGCTTTGAAATTCAGCCAGGTCATTTTTCCTCTCGAGAAGCTGGTACAAGGGGCTGCCTCGGTCCGGCCCCGTCCCAAACATGACCCCCAATAAAGAAAGCAACAGCCCAAAATCACAGCCATCCAGGCCACGCTCATTTATAAGGACTGTAGGAAACCTGATTTCTTACCTTAACTTGCTGAAATAAGAAGGGGCGATTTCTCCCGAGTGACAGCCAATCTTATCCCAAGAGAGCTTATAGGAGAAGGATAATTAAGCTGTCATGGAGTTTGGTGGGTAAATGACATTGCTTAAAACAAAATTTATGAACTGAAAAGAAACTTTCATAATATTTACAATTTTTAAAATATGTTTTAGAGGTAAAATGGTAAAAACATGAGTTATCGATATTATCTATGTAGTTATCTATATTCTCTGCCTCTACTAAGCTGTTATGAATCTCAGATAAATGTGGAACCCCTGTCCCTTTCCTCCCCCACCACCAACAACAAAAAAAAGATGAAAGAAAATGAGGCCAGTATAGGCCCACCTGCTCAGAAAGTGATCACATGGGAGGGACTTCCAGTTTGAGTAGATATCATCCAGTTGGGATATTTGAAACATTCTGTACAAGTCATCATTACAGAGCTGAATAGAGAAGGAACCCAGGCACAATAGTGGGGTAAGCTTTGGGAGGGTAACCACAAGGTCAGTAAAACTAACCATGTCTTGAGGCAAAGCTGAAACTGTCTACTCTGCTCAGACACCCACAGGGGCAGTTCTAATCTCCTGTGTGGGCTCACCAGGAGCTAGAGCCTACTCAAGGGCTCAGAATGTGATCTCTAGGGAGTCAGCTGCCCAGATACAATCCAAAAAGGCTAAACCATCTTGTCAGCAGCCAATGAGCAGAAGGTTGTGGTTCCCCCATTCCCCGCACCAACCCCATCCACCTCCCGACACAAAGTAGTACTCTGTAGTTGTTTATTAAATCTGGGTCTTTCACCAGACCTACGGGCCATGGGACTTGAGACAGTCACCAACATATTTGCTAGTTCACTTTGATTCATCTACTTCCCAAGCTGCTGAGGCCACTACCTGCCACAGGACCTGCTCATCTTGGATTCCACAACTCCTGGACAACCTTGAGTGAGGAGAAGAATCCAGTTTGAAATCAGCCCCATTTGGACCTGGCCAGCCTCTACCGCAGTGAGTTGATAAGAGGAGTGGCATAGCCAGAAAGCTCCCCTGTGTGGAGATAAGGGGGGCAGAGCGGGATCCAGATTTTGGAGGGCTAGCATAACAAACTGGGCTCTCCCAGAGGTCAACCAGCAGACTCCTGTTTCCATTCACAGGTCAGGCTCCCTTTCGAAGCATTTGATCATCATGAGCAGCGCGAACCCTCCCAGACTCCTGGACATCGCCATCCAGAGCGTGCTGCAGGATGAGGCCTCAGCCATTGACGCTCTGGAGTGGCTGCCCGTAGACCTCTTCCGTCCCTTGTTCACGGCAGCCTTTCAGGGTGGACACAGAGAGACAGTGAAGGCCATGGTGTTTTCCTGGCCCTTCACCTATCTCCGTCTGGGGGTGCTGATGGAGGATTGCGAGTCTCTCTATGACATGTTAAAGGCAGCCCTCGATGGTCTTGAGATGCTGCTTGCCCTCAAGGATCGACCCAAGAGGTGCAAGCTAAAGCAGCTGGATTTACGGCTGAACAGTGGCACCAAGATCTGGAATACGTGGCTGGCAACCCAATCCGATGGCTCTCTGACCTCATCAGAGGAGCCTGCAGCCACCCAGCCCAGTACTCAGACCCCCAAAGAGGGCAGATCCAGGTCAGAGGAGAAGCATCAGCTCCTGCCCCCTGTGAGGGTGCTTATAGACCTGTGCTTTCAGGAAGAAGTCATGGATGAATTCCTCACCCTCCTCAGTGAAATCATCAAGCAGGGAAAGGCTCTGCCTCCCCTGTACTGCAGAAAGGTGGAGTTTATTGGGGATGTGCCCAAGTTTTCCGTTCTTGAGGACATCCTAGAAATGGTGCGGCTGGACTCTGTCTGGGATGTGGAAGTGCGTGGCCCCTGGGACCTGCATGACCTCAACTGGTTTGCCCCTTACTTGGCCCGGATGGTTCACCTGCACACAATCTCTTTCTCTGGAATCGTCTTGGATTGCTTGGAGTTATGCATGCAGGAAGAGGTGGAGAAGCTACTTGCTGAATTCAGCACTCACTTCCTCTGTCTACATGAGGTTGAGTACCTCATCTTGGAAGATGTCTTCCTCCATGGCCACCTCCACCGGCTGCTCGAATGCATGCAGACCCCCCTGAAGTATCTCACCATTAAGGACTGCATGCTGGTGGACTCTGACTTGACATGCCTGTCTTGCTGCCCCTGTACCAGCCACCTGCAGTCCCTGGATTTGAGTGGTGTCTTTGGTAAAGACATACATTTTGGTTTGCTTGCAGACCTGCTAGGGAGCTTGTCAACCACCTTGACCAACTTGGACTTAGATTCTTGTGGCATCAAGGATTCTGAGCTCATGGCCTTGCAGCCTGCTCTGGGCCACTGCACCCAGCTCAAGTCCTTGGCGTTGTGCGGGAACCTGGTCTCCAGCGACGTCCTGCTGGCCCTGATGTATCACACCATGCCACGGTGCCAGTTTGCCTTTCTGGAGCTACCTGTCCCTCCCTGTTGCTATGTGGGACCCGAAAATATTCTGGATGAAGGCAGTCTTGAACAGGTCATGCAGGACCTGACCCTGACCCTGCCGACGAGCAGGCCCCACTCAATACGTTTCCTTTCCTCTCACAGTCGGAATGGGTCTGATGCAATCGTCATTGAGATCAAGCCTTGATGTCACAAGGTAACAAGAGCCAAATGGGATGAAGGGCACAGTAGGAGGGCTTCAGTTGTGAACATGCATAATTTGTAGAAGGCTCTGGGGGACAGTGGGAGCCCCCAAACCATGTGCAGAGTATCTAGTCAGATGAGGCCTTTGGCAGATGCCCTCTGGCCACAGGTGAGGGATGGGAACTGCTTTACTATCAGACAGATTATTGTAAACTTGGTGATGGTGAATGGAACCATGATAAGATAGGATAGTGGATCAGTTGACCTCCCTCTTGACCCAACCTGTATTTGTTCTAGGCTTAAGTATTCCTCGCTTGTTCCACGAAAATTTCATTTCTGCCCTTTGTAATATTAGTGGTGGTCTTTTCTTTCTCTTGACTATTTTCCCTTTTTTTCTGCTTCATTTCATTTTTGTTTTCCACTGTTGCTGTTGGGTCTCCCAGTTGATGAAGCATGGACAGAGTGGATGCATAGAGATAATAACTGATGTAATGGTTTACCAGGGATACGTGTGGGGAATTGGAGGGGAATTTGGGAGCATACAGTTAATGAGAGAGTGGAGAGGGAGGACTAGAAATGATTTTGATCATGCTTCTACAATTCTAATTATGGAATTGTGTGATATATGAATTTAATATCAGGAAAACTACCAAAAATAAGAAACCAAAGTAGACCAATGGTCACCGTAGGTGAAGGAGGAAGAGTTTTGCTTAGGGGGCATTGAGTTTATGTTAATGGTGGCAGAATAATTGGGAAAAGGATTACAGTAATGGTTGTACAATATACAGAGTATCTTCCACAGCCCTGCATTAAACACATGCAGAAAATGTTGACTCAGAGACTGTTGCCTTGCGTATATTTTGGCCAGGACTAAAAAACAATTACACTAAGAATCACGAGTAACCAGAATAAAGAAAATGTTCTAAACTTGCTAGTGGTAGTGATTGAATAGCTCTTCTCGGTAGGATTGAGCTATGGAATCGTAGGGGGATCAGGGGTCAAGACAATTGTTTTCTTTAAACGCGAGTTGGTGTCCTACCGCTCTCCTTTGCCATAGAGTCTCAATCCCACCTCCATTCTCTGGTAATGAATCAACTTACAAAAGCACAGTAAGTTTGCTAAATGGGTGAGGTTTGGGGTTAGGGTCATGAGGACTAGGTCATGTTTACTACGATCATGTGGGAGGTTGAAAGCTTGCGTCAGAAGCTGCATGTGATATGACCACTCTGACTGAAGTCCACCCTTCTTTGTAAGCAGGCATCATGGAGGCCAAGACACAAGGAGATCTGCTGGGATGTGCAGGCGCCCCCGATGTTATGAAGAGACAACCTCCCCCACCTCCGTCCAAGAGAGAAACCCACTGCCAACCACCCTGCGCTACATTTCTGCTTCCGACCACTTGCACTAGCCGACAATAAAGAACTCTTTGTAAAGCTATCCACTTGTGGCATTCATTTCTTCTGTAGCGGGGGGAACTATAAAACTTTAGACCAGCGGTTCTCAACCTGTGGGTCCCAACCCCTTTGGGGGGCCGCATGACCCTGTCAAGGGGGTCACCTGTTTCAGAACAGTAGCAAAATGACAGTGGTGAAGTAGCAACGAAAATAATTTTGTGGTTGGGGTCACCACAACATGAAGAACTGTATTACAGTAGTACGGCATTGGGAAGGTCGAGAAGCACTGGTCTAGATGGCCATAGAAGGAATTTGTTGCTGTGTTTATTCCTGACGTGGAGAGTGGTTGTAGGGCGCAGCAGAAACTGGCCCCAGAATTGGGGATACGGGTCACCCCTCTACATCTTTCCCACCTCTCCACCTCTGGAGCAGTTTTAGGCCACCTTCTCGATGTGCGATGCTTCGTTTTCCGGGTCCACTGGGCTGGGCAGTGCTGCTCAGGGCCAGTTCAAGATGTCCTGATGTGCTCTTTGGAGCCCTGGTGGTGTCCTCATGACTTAGCCCTGGTGGTGGTTGGAGGAAGGACTTCTAGTAATGTTAGGTTTGTCGAGTGGGTAATCCCTCGCTGCTTGGCTTCCCATGAGAACGAATTCACGGAGAAGCCTGGTTTGTGATCCAAGTGGGTTTTTATAAAGGACGGGAGAAGTTTCAGGTTTTCCAGTCTCAAGAGTCCACGCTGTTTCAGGGAAGTTTGCCAAATCACGCAGAAGCCGTGGCTGGGGTTCAGCACTGAACACGGGCAGCCTGGTGGGACTGCACACAAGACACGTGGTGCCCTGAGGCCAGAGACAGCGGCACGGAGCAGGGGAATCGGGCGAGAATTCTCCGACCTGACACTCAGCGGGAGCAGGGGGTACAGGAGCAAGTGAGAAGCGAGGCTGTGGGCCCTGAATAGGCGTGGACGGGGGTGCATGTGCTTCCCAAGTAGGCCTGCGCTGGGTGCTAAGGGTGCCCACACTAGCGGTGCGTGTGTGCCTCCCTCCTCCACCTGCTTCTGCCCAGGAGCAGGGTAAAAAGGACCAGCATTACCGCTGCCAGGGTATTTTAAACCTTTAACTTGGGAGGCGTGCTCGAAGGTGTTGGTTGGCTCCATTGGCTGAATCAAACCCACCTGGGCCTATTGGGGGGACACACAAGTGTAACGCCTACCTGGCTCGCAGTGGGGGGTGGGGAAATCTGAATTGGAGCATGCCCAGTTCAGGGGTCTTCATGGGTGGCAATTGGGTTCCCAATTGACCTTTCCCAACCTCCTGTACGGGGCCTGTGCAGGAACACACCCCCTGTCTAACATTTTTGTGCTGCCGTGTGACTCGGAGATAACCTTTGGATGATACCAGGACTGGTGTATGGAATGCACTGTGGCTCTCCGCGGAGTCCACCCTGCAGGACAGCAGCCCGCCGTGGTATGGCAGCCATCCCTTGCTCCCCCCGCCCCCCCATGCACCTGTCTGCTCTGTCCTCCCCTGTGTTTCCTGCTTCTGTGTTGGGCTGCAGTGTCTGCTTCTCCGCGGGGCCTCGCAGGCTTCCCCCAGCCTTGCTTCCTGGGATGTGGTGGGGAATTCCGGTCCCAAAGCCGTTTGACTTTTTAGAGTTGTTTCGCTCTGTGTTCCTTCTAGCAAGACGGCCGTGCGCACAGGTCAACCGAGTTGTTCTCTGTGGGATGCTGGTTCCTGTAGCTTGCCCTCTGCCAACTCTGGACTTGGCTGCACCCGGCGGCTGCCAGCTTCCTTGCAGGGGAGCCGACTACGTGATTCTGCAGTCCCCAACAATGTGGCATCACCCCGTGTCCTCCACCCTCTTGTTTCCGGGCACTGAGCACTTGGCCTGCTGCCGACCTCTGCAAGATGATGCCCTGGGCTTCAACCGCGTGGGGGGCTGCCGAGTGTGCCAGCACTGCCCAGTTTCCCGGGGGTTGGCCTGGGTTACCCCACAGACCCCCCTCCCCACACCTTCCCCTGTTTTCTCCTGGTTTCACACGCAAACTGCTTGGTCCTACCTGTTTGGGGGTTTGCTTTAGCTTCCTGCCCGTGGGCTGGTTCGGTGTTTCCCACTGGCTGGTTTTCCTTTGCCAAAACCTGGGGAAAAGGCATTGGAAAGCCAGGCCCCTGAGTAACTGCTACCGCTGGTGGTTTCAAAGGCTTTTCAGCGCCAATGCCTCCAGCCCCTGGGCCATGCGCGTTCATGGTACAGCTCGGGTGTCAAAGTATGTGTCCAGCCAAGGATCCCAATTTCCCTAGAATGTTCCCTGAGCCGATTGACAGGTCTCTCCTGTGGTTCTTACCAGCGTTGTGGCGAGGCCGCTCATGCCAGGGGTCGCCTTTGAAGGCTATTGGAAGGCCACTCCCCGCAGTGGTCTTGCCTTCAGAGGTCCGGGGAATTACTCATGCCAGCTACTGACTCCGTTGGCCCGGTATGGTCACCCAAGCTGGTGGTCTGCGCTTGATGTCTACAAAACAGTCGGGGCCCAGTTTCGGGGCAGAGGCTGGACACCCCACCCCACCAAACTGTGCCTCTGGCAGGGGCACCTGCACGAGGCCCCAGTTCCAGGCAGATGGCGCCAGCAGCAAAGGGTTGATGTCTCTGGTCTGGAACCCTGGTTGTGCATGGATGTTGGAAGGTGGGCCATTACAATCTCTCTTAGTTAGTACTGTGTATTCTGTCTTACCACCTTCCCCGGACCCCGGGCACTGCGCCTGCACCATCCTTGGAGTGTCAGGAAATCCTGTAGTCAAACACTTTACAGAACCCGTAAGGTGCCTATGGACAACCTCTATTTCACTCACAGCTTCCTAGTAGTCCCTGAATGACCAGCCGCTCTCCTAGGCCGAGATGTACTGTCTAAGTTACACACCTACATCGTCATTAGGCCTCATCCTCGTTCCACTATAGCGTTCCAAATGTCCCTGACCTCAGAGGAGCTGCAAAGTCCCCCACAGGAACAGTGGGAAAGTGCCTTACACCCTGCAGTCTGGGACTCGGGAGTCCCCGGCAGAGCTAAGGATGCAAGCCCTGGGAAGTTTTTCCTAAAAGACCCCCAACAGTCTTTAGGCAAGTAAATGCTTTCACACCTTTCCTGTGTTTAAAGTAAATTGGAGCCCATGCCTGTCAGTCCTCAGATTGCTTTTCAAATCTTCCAGTGACACCGACGCACACTTGCAAGGGCACTGTTGCCTCGCAGCGTTGCCCCTGCCTTACTAAACTGTCCACCTGTTTGTTTCTTCCCAAAGTCATCAGGTTACCAATGTCTCTGAGCCAAATGTGCCAACCCCAGGATCACCAGCTCTTGGATCACTCCAACCTCGTCCATCGTGGGCCCTAAGTGGACAACCCCTCTCATCAGAAGGGTGTGGACCTCAAAGCCCCACTTTGTGCCCCTTTTGCCATCAGGAAGCAGCCAGAGACATCGTCATCCAGTACCCCAACATTTTGGGTCCATACTCCGGCCGTGGGGAAATGTTAGGTAGTCAGACAGGGACAGGGGGATTGTCCCTTCCCTACCTGCACAGGCCCCTACAGGAGGTTGGGAAAGGAAAGCCAGGCAAGCATTAGCCACCCATGAAGACTTTAACTGGGCATGCTCCAATTCAGGCCCCCTGAGCCAGGTGGGCACTACACCTGCATGGTTTCAAATAGGCCCAGGTGGGCTTGATGCAGCCAATGGGGTCAACCAATACCTTCAACCATGTCTTCCCAGCCAGAAGTTTAAAACACCTTGGCAGCAGGAAGGCTGGTCTTCCTTCTCCTTTGTTCCGCCTGGGCGGCCCCCTCAGCGCCTGCGCCTGGCTATGCTGGGCTCACAGCCTCTCTTCTCACTTCCTCTTGTTCCCCGCTCCTGGTTAGTTGGAGAGAATTCTCTCTTGCCTCTTCTTACCCTGCGCCTGTGCCCGCTTGGTCTGTGCCAAGGTCTCTGGCCTCAGTTCACCCCATATGAGCGTTTATTCCCACGAGGTTACCTGTATTCAGTTTTGGGCCCCAGTGCGGCTTCTGCGTGGTTTGGCACACTTCCCTGAAATAGCGTGTACCCTTTTGCGATTGTAAAACCGGAAACTTCTACCATCCTTTATAAAAACCCACTTGGATTACAAACCAGGCTTTGGTGTGAATTCTTTCTCAAGGTATTACCCACTCGATGAACCTTACAATAATAGATATAGCTCAATTTTTAATTTCATTTATTTGTTTTTAAAAATCATTTTATTGGGTAGCTCATACAACTCTTATTACAATCCATACCTATATCCAGTGTGTCCAGCACATTTGCACGTTTGTTTCCCTCATCATTCTGAAAACATTTGCTCTCCACTTAAACCCTTGGTATCACCTCATTTTTCCCCCTCCCTCCCTGCTCCCCTCTCCTTCATGAACCCTTGATAATTTATAAAGTATTAGTATTTTGTCATGCTTTGTGTTAGGTGGGGGTTTTATACTTGAGATCTTCAATTTTGTCTTGACTTTTTAAATTATTTATCCCACTTCCTAATACCTGTAACTATCCATGTCCTGTAACCCCTCCTGAGGTATAATTACTACCACACATGGCCAGAGTGCTCCTTAGAGACAAGGCTGGCAAGACTTCATCTCACATGATTTCGATTTGCTGTCAAGAGGGACGAGTCTCATGAGAAGACCATCAAGCTTGGTAAAGGGGAGGGGCCGCACAAAAGAGGAGAGCCCGCATTGAGATGGAGTGACACGGTGCCTGCAACAATGATCACAAGCAAGGGAGCAATTCCTAGGATGGGCCAGGACGGTGCAGGGATTCCTTCTGTCTCTCATAGGGTGGTTATGGGGTTGGGTCGACTTGATGCCATCTAACTAACCACCACAACCACAACCAAGAAGAATCCCTTCACATCTCTGGAACCAAGGTTGAGAAGGAATGGAGGTTGTGTTACTCACCCCCAATCCTTCATGATTGATTGAATGGGAACTGAAAGTAAAAGTAGCACGCTGACTCGGACAATCATACGGCTTACCCTGCAG